TCATTTTTGTACCCCTTTTTGGAACGGAACTGTCAATGAAAGGAGCGCCGTGTTCTTCTCAAATTTTGGTGATCGATTGAGCAGATAACGACTGAGAAGGTATCAACGTAACAAACTGACTTTTACGTTTCAAAAATGAGTAAATGTCATTTAAAACAATAAATAAAACGTAAAAATACAACCAATGAGTTTAATTTCACTATGACCATAGACAAAATCACCTATTCTATACAAATTAATAAAATTGAAGTTTCTATTTGTAATGTAAAACTATGCCTAAAAACTAGTTTAAATATTTTTTATTTGTCTGTCTGTTTGTTTGCACCGATTTTGATAATATTTTACTACCAGGTAGCTGCTATATAAGGAGTAACTTAGGCTATTTTCTTCTCAGAAAAACTCTATAAAATTTTACCCGGGCCGGGCATCGAACCCGAGGCCTCAGGGACCGCAGTCGCCTAGCGTACTACACCACGCGAACTAGCTAGTAAATTATAGAAATGTAATTTCCTAGCTTCATATAAAACAACATTCATAATTATTCTATTACATGTTATCACACCATAAGAACATTAAATGAACTCCATTTTTTCAATAAGTACATATTGTTACAACGAACAAGTATTTGGAATAATAAAACTCACTGTATGTTAGTTACTAAAGATAAATTAAGGAGTACTAACTCCTTAATTTATCTTTCGGGACACGAACAGCACTGCCCTTTACTACAAAATTACTGTTGTTTTATAACAAAATTTCCTCTTTTAGATCTACAACTACCTACCTACATATTTGACATATATATAAAACTCCATAACGTAACATACATTATGAACTCATTATAAAAAATAATGAACCTATTTTAAAACCAGGTATTCCAAACAAAGCTTTTCATAGCGAACATTAATTGTACAGAATGACAACAGTGTATGAAATTTAATATAATGAACATGTTACATGAATGTTATATTAATAAAGAAAATAATGACATTATTACATTGTAAATGAATGCTGGGTTTTAAATACGTTTGTGTTACTTAAAATAGTTACTGAAAAAATATTTATATCTAATTTGAAAAGTACTATGTGAAAGTTTAATGTGTGCATCGAGTTTAACAATACAAGAGTGTGATAACCCAAATGAACTAATGGTCAATTCGAACGAATTTTTTTTATTTTATTTTTATTAAAATATTTAAAATTACGGTAAAATTACTTAGCCGAGATATCATCTAACCTAGTTTAGTGTAAAAGATGTTTTGTTTTAAATTTTATAAATATGTGGAGCATTGTAGGGGTTTAGTATATATATTGACCTATCCATTAAGTCAAAGTCCAAAACTTGTTGAAATTCGATTGCCAAGCGAAGCAAAGGAGATGACATATGGCTCTTGTTTATAAATTTTGAACATCCTGATGACTTTTTCATACTTTTCCAGATTAACGTAAAGTTAAAGCAGGAATTCGATAAAGAATGTGCCAAAGAGGCGGGAATGGCCAAAGTTTTGGGTCACTGTTTATTAGTGTGTCCCACTCATTATTAGGGGGCACAATAAGGAAACTTTGGCAGTATTTGCAGTATTTGGATTCCACATTTTACGTATGTACTTTTAGAGTCAGATGTACCTACTGCGTGAATTGATATATGTTAATTCTTATGGTTACCACTCTGCCTTCTCAATAAAGGTTGAGCTAACTTTAAAAATTACACCTTTATTTCAAGAAATTCTATAATATTTTATTCTTGTTTCACTTAGTCCGTTTTTAGGTTCTTACAATTTAAGCATCATTCTCAATTATCATCAACAGCCTATAACAGTCTACTGCTAGACATGGGCCTCTATTTAGCAAGGAGGTTTTGGCCTACTATAAAACGGTTGGAATAGGGGAATTTTATTAGAATTATTGTTAATTATATTGATAGTATATATTTAGTGTCCGACCGAAACAGGTTTTACAGGCGAAACCGAAACCGAACTTTCGGCCCTTGTTTCGGTTTCAGCCGAAACTGAAACTCAAACTATTATTTTAAAATTTCGATTGTATACTGAAATTAGGTGTTTTTTAACCCTTTATCTGCTTATACATAGCACCTAAAACCACAGTAATAAAGTAGACACAAAGCATCAATTCTAAATAAGAGAAAATGTATTTAGGTAGGTAGATATAAAAATACTAGCTACTAAATACTAGAAATTCACGTATTTAAATTAACTAGATACCTTACACGATAGGCGGGAAAGAACAGGGCAATGTGGCTGACTGGGTAGTTTGAACGAAATATCTGCGTTTTCTCATAGTTAAAGTTAAGCAACTGAAGATGAAATATTAATAGTAGTTTAAGTTTTTTGAATGGTTAAAAATGGCAAAATAAGGGTCCGGAATGTAATTCAATAATAATTAACTATCTACAAACAAAATAATAAATATCGAACACAATCTCTTTTATGTATTACTAATATATATAAATAAAACTCAACAAAACGACTCTATACCTAATAATCGCCTTTGAGATAAAACAACGTAAGTAACAAGGAAAAAGAAAACAAATAAAAAATAATTTATGAGTAAAACACAGCTAACAAGTAATTAAGCCTTGGGACAGCCATGCCTCGGCATGATATAGACCAGGCTCGATCGAAGTGATTCCACGCCCTCAAAGAAAACCTGTTTAAAAGCAGTGAGAGAGGTTACCGGGTACTTGATTCTGAGGGGAGGAACTGAAAGGGCGGCAATGCACTTGTGACTCTCAAGTTGCAGGTGTCTATGGGTGGCCATCATTCAACCTGTCTTCTTGCTTGGCCCCCAAAACACCATAAAAAAAAGATTCGATTGGACGGTGGCGAACTGAGCCAAAACCAACGTCCACTAGTTAACCGAACGACGCACAACACTTTACGAATACCGAGCCTCGGTGCGGCCAATTTTCGACCGAAACTCGTACCGAAACTAGATTTTTTGGCCGAAACTGGCCGAAACCGAAACTTCGGTCGGTCAGTAGTTATATTTACGAGTTCTTTTACGCACGTCTATTTTTAAAATTTAAAAATTGTCAAGTTAGTATTACATTTCAATATATATACCATTTCTCTAACTTGAAGTAATTTCTGTTTCTTTTTCTTTTATTAGTAACAATAAAATTGCCCTAACATCCAAATTTATTTGTTTGATCTTATTTTATTTACTGATTCAATAGACTCGATCGACTTGGTAGTGTAACTGTAGGCAATTTGAAGTTGGTGGGTGCAAAACACAGCTCAGCTCCCACGTGTATCGAATGTGTACTCAAGTATGAAGATTTCTCATGCACAACTGAACACTGATCACGTCGATTTAAGGGAACCGTAACGTAAAAATATAAAGGGTTTAAATTGTTGAAACTACGCGAAGAAGAATTAGAATTTGACAAGGTTTTCATAATTCAAATGAGATTTATAATTATGTGTGACGCGTATTGTATATATCGGACGTGTGCGACTCCTGACCCCTTCGCGGCAGAACGTTTTACTCTCTGAAAAGAGGCCCATCGGGTGTGAAACTTTTCGTGTTTCTTAACTTATCTTCTGCGTTAGAGCTAGGGATACATGGTATATAATTATTAATACTCGTAGTAATTAAAAAAACTTGAGCGCTAACGAAATTTTTGTTTTATTTTTAAAATAAATTGTACCTAGTAATCAATATCATTTGTTTCAATTAAACTTATTAATAATATATTTAAATTGACAAAAATATCAGAAAAAATATCTGTCAAAGTATACTAATATATATAATATATAAATACATCAAAAAATAAGTTTAAGTTTGTAGAAAGTAGAAAAAAAAAGTGTAAATTTCAAAGTTGTTTCTTTTTTCTTTTATAATGTGCATATAAATAATAAGATAAACGTGAATAGAGTTTTATTGGGTCATAAATTCACATAAATTCCTATTAAAGGTTTTAAGGCTCCGCATATTTGTCATTTAAGGGCGGAGTGCGAACCCATCCCGTGGATGCCTGCGGCATTTGAGGTTCATATTGGGAAATATTACAAGCATACAAGTTTTAAAGGTCGTTTCCCTAACATTCTTTAAAAGGTCTTGTGTATAAAAATACTTCTTGATTACATTTTTACCATCACATTTTGCCAAACTTTTAAATTTACAACGCTATTCAGTATAAAAGCTCTTAAATATTCAGTGCTAGGTGGTTGAGAGGTGATTGCAATTTGTTCTATAATTCAGACGCTCAATGTGTCTAAATATTACAGTAAACGAAAAAGGCAGTATATACCGAATGGTAAATCGATTAAATCATTTTGACAATTACTGATGACGGAGTTAAAGGAAATAGATTAAATGGATGAAATATCATTTGCGACGAAACAGCTAATAACAAATAGCCTACAAAATTGGTTCCCTATTTTCGTTAATAGTTGTTAAAGTTAAAGTTGAAGATATTTCGAAGATAGATCGATTTTAGAGAAAATAATGAAGATTGTACATGGGAATAAAAGCTCATTCAAATTAATTTAAAAAAAGTTCGTTTGAACCTCGTTTCCCTATTAATATGTAGTGAAACGACCGTTGCGTGTTCAGATACTATTTTATTACTCTTGTTGTAAGTGAATTGTATTATAATTTATAGTTTCATATTAATCGCGTGTGAACTAAAATCTATACTCACATTAAAACAGAGATTTAGCTGACTAATGTGAATATTACGGAAATTATAATAACATCATAATAATAAATAAGGAAATGATTTGGGGTCGCTGTTAATGAGGTGACGTACATAGTTGTACCAAAACAATGCGCGTGTAATGTGCTAACAAATATATATGTAACTTGAGCAATAAAACTATTTATTAGTAGTGTCAGACCTCGGTAGTTTTATTCAATCTACCTACCTATTTGTATAAAAAGCTGTGTTCACTGGTCTAAAAATTAGAATGACAATTTTCAGCAGAATTTCCCGTACTCATAATTAGTTTTTATAGCTATTAATACGACAGTCTTACCTGAGCACATTATGGTGTGCGAGAACACTGAGAGGATGATGCGGCGAGTTTGGTGGTAGCACCGGTGGTGGGACCATACGGCCAGGACCTTGAAGCACGCGGATCCCCATGCGGACGATGTTGCGACGAGACACTTTTTCGTCTGGACGTTCCGCTATTAAATAAAACAATTAAAAGAATGTGTATGTTGCTCAACAGTGCTGTGGTAACTTATATTTAAGAGATATCAAATATATTAGGTTCTTAATAGATGAATTCATAAATGACCTCTCTGTCTGCTTACACTGATACTGAACTTAGGTCATAGGTTGGATTATTGAAGTGCAAATATTTGTATGTATGAAATCGTCCTCTAATTGATATTGGTAAAATATACTACCCTTTCCTCTCAGTTTTACCTACGTTTTTAGCCATCTTCATTCGTCAATGTCCATAAAAAATATGAGAAAATGATAATTTTCTTTTCATGATTTTTTACGGGGTGTAGACAAACAATCAAAATTCTTGAACGATTTTATAAATAACCTAACTTTGTTTAGGTATATATTAAGATTTGTATGTACCTGTACCATGTATATTTTTTATCTAAGTGTTCGAACCTTAGTTCTAATGTTTACTTAAAATTTAAATGACCACAATGACTTAACTTACTTAAGTCTCAGTTAGAAATTAATCATCGGACTATTTTAAATAAATTGATGAGATATCTTTTGTCTGCATAAAATAAACTTTGACAATTTAACTTTTCTCTTTCTTACTAACTTGGCAAATGATGATCTCATTTTGTAAGATGTTTCGAAGTTTCCATAATGTGATAAGTTGCTTAAAGCCCACAAAGAAATTGATTGCGTTCATTTTGTCGGGACTTAGTAACCTTATGTTCGTTTTATTAGATTTTCTATTGAATTACTTCATTTGACTAACTTTATTTTTATTATTATAATAATAATGAATGTAGGTACGCGTGATCGCAACTTTATCGGGCTAATTTTTACTGTGGTTCTGTTGACCGATGCAAGCTTACCATCACCTCCGTTACGATACGAGTTTACAAACCTTGTTTTTGTTTTGTGTTTGTTTTTTTAATTACTATGGAGAAATGGGTGTAATTTCACTCCAAAACAAAGAAAGGATCCTCGGGTTATACCAACATAATGACCGCTTATTTAAAATTAAATGAAATTCAAAGATGTTCGATCCGACACGTAACGTCTAAATACATTTATTCAATAGGTAATCATGTATTTCAGAAATCCAACTGTTGACTGAACTATAATAAATACCAAAGCCTATTTATTTCAGTACAGGATTTGTTAACATTTAAACTTTATTAAGACTTTCTTTTTCTCTCGCACCTCTCCGTATATGATTAATATTAAAAATAACATTGAAACCGAATTGTGAACAGTCAAATTCTTGATTATGTTTCGATTTGAATTTTGTATTTCTTTTTGCATAATATACGTGAACTTTCCTACCGAAACTCAGTAGGAAAGTAGAAAAGCGTTATTATAAATACCTGCCTTTGACATTTTCTGATGGCAATTATTCACTTTTGAGGACTAACTATGCATATTGAAGAAGATAATTATTTGGTCTTCTTTTAAGTTTTTTTTTGTAACGTATAAAACAAAACATTTAAATTGAATTTAGTACATATAATACATATACTCGTAGTATATATAATAGATTCTAATAATAATAACTTACCGATATAAGCTCTGACATCATAAGATGTGCCTATAGGAGCCCCGTGATATTGCTTGGCGGGAACCAGCTGCACACTTGGCGGCGCTAGCGGCGTAAGCTCTAAGTGGAACGGGTATGCATTGGCTCCAAGACGTTTAATTAGAGCATCCTGTTTCAGAAAAATATAACATTAAATCAAGACGACAACAGAAAAACTAGACTGGCTAGACTAAAAACAAATTATGCTCGAGTCTAGTGCTTGTTTAAGTCCAAACAAGACTCAACTCAACGTCTTACTCGAAATAAATTAGAGGGTCTAGACATACAAGTGACGAGACATAATATTATGAATACATTCTCTGTACAAAACCGCAGCAAAGAGACACTTGATAAGTGATTTCAGCTTTGAGAGCTTGAAAGCTTTGTTGCAACGCGAATGCCAAAAATATACGTATACAAGATGGCGATACACCTGGTCCCCCGGCAATTGGTACCCGGGACGGCGTGTGGTTTTTGGTTGTTTCTATGCCGACATAACCACCTCACCAGTGTGTGGTATTCAAGGGAATTCCCGCACAGAAAAATACAAAAAAAGGGGAAAATATGAAATTATGTATTTCTTATAAATACTCTATTCTGTACAAAAAAAAAACATTCTTTGACAGATATAATGTGAGCGGAGGTTGTGTGTGTGGGTAGTGTACGTGTATTGATGCTTAGACACCATTTTTCTATTTGCATTAAAAAGTTTCGTAGGAATAAATTTGTTCCTAAATGTCTTTTGCGATTTTGTTAAACAGAACGTAAATAAAATGAAATTACGCCCATGTAAACATAGTAAAAAACTAGTATAACGCTTTACGTCTACTGACTACTACTTTTAAAAACACAGATACAAAAATAACATGACGTCATGCAATACGTTTCTTTTTTTATTCTAATCTCAAAAGGTTTATTTCTCTTGTTTCTCAGAATATCCCGTGACGTACTCTTTATCGTAATTCGATATTAAAAATCTAGCTTTATAAACTGTTAAGTCAAAATAATATTGAATCTATTTCATAGACGTAAAAATTATATCGAATTATTTCTAAAACTAACAGTGTCACACAAGTAAATTAATTAGAGGTCAGAAATTCCTGATTTGTTTTTATAATAAGTGATATAATAATTTCATTATTATCGGAAATCTGGGTACTGACGGGTATCCGGTCTATTAAATCTAAAATTAACTCGCTTAATCCATTGTAGGTACTTTGTTTGGACTTGAAGTCATGTAACCAATGTAATCGCTATAATTTGATTTACAACAAAAGGACTTGTTACTATACTGTATCAAAGGAAAATTTATATATAGGGTTACTGGGTAAGTCGACCTAGATACTTTAAGGGGTTGTAGTTGCCATCATTTCTGATAAATTTTACTATGAAAGACCATATCCCAAACCTAACCATTTTCAAGATATTAGACTTTTAAAATTTTGATACAAATTGCCGAAATTTTGCCTAATTAATTTTTTTTAGAACTTATTTCCTTTTATGCTTTTTTAACTGTTTATGTATAGTTTATGTATAGGTACCATAGAAGATATCACTTTGCGCATTGCTTCAGGCTAAGGACCTGTGTCCTGTTGTAGTTACGGAAATGGACTTGAAAGTTCATATTTAAGCTTGAGATAATCGAGATTGTTGAGATTTGCTGTGGATCTACGAGGTTAGGCAGAACGACAACAACATATTGATTTTTGTCCTAGTTTTAAAATTCGTGAATGTCGTCATTAACTCAAACACACTTGATATTCAAACTTCATACTCTTCGACGATGTCTACGACATGACATGAGCATGTGTCAGATACAGTTTGAATTTGATTACTTTGGTTAAGTTGAGATTGAAGTAATGGAAGCCAATTTACATACGACCTCTAACAAGTTTACTGTCACATGATGTGAAGATCGTACTTTAATGTACTTTAAAGGGATTGTATGAACGAGACTAAAGTTAAATCGATACTGTCATAAAGTTACCCTTGGGTCTTTTATGGTCAATGTATTCTTGGATTTAAAGCAATATTATTTTGTTACTTGCTAGCCGACAGACATTGTGATGTTGTAGGTTTTAGTCACAGAACTAATTCGACAATAACAGAAAGAAACGAAAATCTTAAATATAACAATTGAATTTTACTTAAAATACGGTAGCGCCACCTACTTCGTCAAACTGGAATTCCATATTAAAGTTTCATGAAAATTGATCCAGCGATTTAGGAGTCACTCACGGCAAGAATAGGCTATGAATAAACATTTCAATATTTGAAAAACGCAGCTTTCAGTTTCTTGTTTCAGCATTCGTTAGGTCAATCTCTACTTTTCCATATTTGATATAATAGAATTAATAATGACCAGCAATTATATAGAGCTTTCCGGAAGAGTGTAACTCTACTTAAGAAAATAAGAGGTCTATTATAAAAGCTGGTTTATGTTTAAAGCTAATGTATTGAACTATATCTCTTCGTGGAACACCTGTGACTCTCTCAGACTTGAGCAGTGAAAAATGGTTAGAATGACCTTTACAGCGGCTGCAACGCCATTGTAAGAGAGATTTATGGTCCGTAACATTTTCTGCTGAAGATATTATAGCGAAGCGTTCTAATGGTTTTTATGAACTGAGCTAAGGATGATTAATAGATTTTATTTATTTATTTATTAGGATCTCCTACAAAAGATATACACAAGTAAAAAATAATAATTGACTGAAGTATAAAGTCGGTGTACTCCTTCACTTACAGGGGACCACAGCAAGCAAAGTGAAAAAAAAATAAAAACATCATCCTAGCGAACAAAGTTACAAGCAATATAGAAAATTTAAAGGCTTAAAAAGTAACAAAAAATAGAAATTAAAAAAGTAGATTTTTATTTTTTTAAGAAGTTACATAAAATTAAAAAATAAAATTGAAAAATAATAATAACAACGTTGAGGCTTTCATTACATTAAAGTTGTTATCCTCATCATCAGAGCCTTTACTAGTCCACTGCTGGACATAAACCTCCTTTCTAAGGAGAGGCGTTCTCCTTAGAAAGGAGGTTATGGCCTACTATAGCACGCTGGCCAGACGGGTTGGTATATGGTGACACTCCGTGTTCTTAATCCGTCATTTCGCCGGATTTTTCAGGAATTTTTCGTTAATTCTACCTGTCTACATTGTATGATTTCATTTTGTGCATAAAGTGGTTAATAAATAAAGAAAATATTAAGAAAACGACAGATAACATTTACATATGTAATTAATGTCATAATAAATGCAGTACAGTTATAAAAAGTGAAATAGAATAAAGTTTGTGATACATGAGATAATGTACAATAAGTGTTTTTTTAGTCAAATAATTGTCTGTTTATATCCTTAAATCTTTTTATATTCGTTTGGCGGGATTCACAAACTGAGATAACTTTATAATGTGATTTTGTAAATTTCAATTCTTGTTTTTTGTTCAAATGGAGATGGGTGGGTTGTCGAACTCAATTACGTGAAATTTGCCAGTTCTACACTATGAAAGACGGACTGTGATCTAATAATAGCTGCTTTTATAGACCGATAAAGTCGCGTTGCTTGATGAAATATAAAATCCTCAATAACTATTTTTGCGACGTAATATTTTCTATTTACTTTATATCAAAGTTGTTTGACGATTTCAAACAAACTTGTTAAGAAAGTAGATATGAACACACGTATTTTATTGGCCTTTTAGAAAATATTTAGTCATTTTACAAGAGTACGGATGAAAGGGGTTTTAAAATGTTTGATAAGCTTTAATTGTACGAATTAACAGTATATAATTAATCTTGGAATTTAATTAAAACATACTTCCAATTGTCGGATCGAAATGAAATTTTGTATTTGTAGGTAAATACTTTGGATGATAATAGTAAATAGAATCTGGCATAATGGAGTTGATCTGATGATAAAGTATCAGGTGGATTGTATGAAATGTAGTGACACCCTTGAGTAGCTACTGTTGACCCTTTGGTTATTTTTTTTCGGTGCGGAACTCCCCTCGGATACCACCCACCAGTGGGTGATTATGTCGGACTCGAACCGACCAAAAACCGCACGCCGTCACCAGGTACCAGTAGCGGGGGAACCAGGTATATCCTAGAAAGGCAAGCCCTAGTACCCCGACGTACCTCAGGCCATCTACGGCTTATAGACCACCCTTCCTGTGTGGGAACCCGGATGTTCCCTTCCAGCTCAGAAGGTCGCGCCATTACCCACCCCAGCCTGCTTCTGCTAGAGTGACATATGGCCTCACCTGTCACCCTCAGGCCTGCGCTTATGGAGGACGGAGGTCGGTCTGCGATCTCTGGCGCCCGAGCCGTCTGCGGTGAGCGAGAGTGCCGCCACGAGGTCACGCCTCTGCTCCACCCACGCCGGGCATTCTGCTAGAGTGTGGAGCGCCGTCCACACTCTAGCGTCCACGTCCACGGCCCGGCCATCGCAGTAGTGGCACCCAGGCGTTGGCTCCTTGCGGATCAGACACAGGTGATCCCCGAAGCATCCTTTCCCAGTGATCACTGGCGTCAACCGGTATAAGAGCGTCCCGTGATGCCTCTCGAGCCAATCTTCCATAATGGGTCTTACCGCCGCGATAACAGCGTGCCCATCCTAGGGTACACCTGGTTTCTGGCTACTGGGACCCGAAACGGTTCGACTCCGACATAACCACCAGTGGTTGGTATCCGATGGAGAAATCCGCACCAAAAACATGGGTGTAACTTGTATAAACTAAAATGTGCGTTCCGTTTAAAAGGTGAGATGTTAGAAGCAGTTGACAAAAAAGTAAAGCCATTATCACTATGTTTTTTATTTATTAATTATTGTTCATAGATTTTTGATGATTACAAATTTGTTTTTTTTGTATTGTGTGTTTTTAGTGAAAGGTTTTTTTTATTGTGTGTAATTATGAGATTTTAGTAAGTCAGGTATAAGTATCAGGTATCTTATGGATTTTCTCATCATTAAATTGTATGGATACCGATAAGGTAAGTTAAGTAATAGAATTGTGTCGTCACTTGGCTAGCAGCTTCCAGTCTAAATAAGTCATGCTAGAAGTAGATATACTACTGTATACATTTATAGGTTTATAATCTTACCTGAAGTGGTGTGTTTGGCTCTCTGTCGTGATTGCAGTGCAGCGGCCATATTTGTGCAAGGCTCATGATCGCCTCATTACAAAATTTGAGACCCATGACTTCTTCATCTTCTCGACCGTATCTGTTAAAAAGATAAATCATTAAAAAAAGTTGAACCGACTTCAAACATTACTGAAAAAGAGCAATAAAAATTTAAAAACTTATCTACTGGTACGATGGTACTTATTATAGGGTTTTTACTTAGATTTGTAATTAACAAATCTAAGTAAAAATCCAAAACAAATATAGACGAATTGAGAACCTCCCCTTTTTGTGTTATTGAGGTCGGTTAAAAAATTATGTTTAACTAATTAAATTTAAATTTGAAAGACGTCATACACTCATCACGCCCTCTGGTCCTAAACTGGATAGAGCCTGTCTGTAACATGTTTATAGGCGTTGTAATCAGGACAACTAACCAATTATATGTATAATAAAAACAAGTTTTTTAAATTACTATCAAATTGCCTACTTAATTCTACAAAATGTTTACAAAGATCGTCGGAGTGGTTTTTAGTGGTAACACCATATATTCCTGGCTTCTATACCCCCAAGGAGCCGGAGATACGAAGGGATTACCCACCTCGTCACTAAAAAAATAAAAGGCTCCTATTTGTCATAGCGTGATGTTATATTTAGATTCGTTCATTCCTCACGAAATATTTTTCTGGATTGAAGCTTTGATGTATTCTTCTCTGTAGCTCTGGCAACGTAAATGAGAAATTTCATGATGGCATGGCACGCACGGCAGCTCATAAAAAACGAGGTTACCCTTATATTTGTTTATTAGACAAACTCTGACAGTAAATGGTTTTTGCGTTTAGTGTGATCTCTCTAAGCTGCTTAAAAATTCTTGCCTATTGCTTTCTTGACGATGTTCAGTAAATTGATAAATTGAAATATTTATTCTTGACCCGAATATTTAATTCGTAGGTGTTATTTTTTTCTCAGAAGTACTCGAAACATTTTATTTTAAAAGAAAACAGTGAGGTAGTTTCTTTGAAAAAAGCATTATCTATATGAGACCAGAAATCAAACGCAGTTCTAAAAACAAAATGATAAACCAAGTTTGGATGCAACTCGGCAACAATCTTCCTTTTTTTTTAAACTGGTACGAAAGTGCAGCTAACGCTTTCTTATGAGAAATGATGGATTCCCAAAACAAAAAAAAAATAAACATGGGACGACACTTTGTGTGATTCACAAATTGTTGTTCTGAGTATGGGTGTTCTTTGTTTCCGTTTCATGTATTTTTGTAAAGTCCCCCGCAACACAGGATTTTCTTCCTAGTGCGGGAGTTGTTTTTAAATAAAAAAGCATTAGCTGCTTCAAGAGCTATTTTTATGATCTTACAAAGACAAAAATTAAATAACTTCTAATTAATTTAACTTGACTAAATGAACCCCTTCTTTAAGTGCGTATTCTGTGACTAATCTTCAACATCAGTGCGACTGCGAGTGATTATTATGATTATGATAGCGCCAGACTCGCGTAAGGTCAAAATCTAGAAAATGGTCGTGTTCTTTGATCGTCATCAAAAAATAAAATTCTACACCTTCGTTTTTTTCTTTGCTTAAGTTTCGATGGCATTAATCTATACCTGTTAAAAGTTTAATAACTGTGATCTTTGATCTTTGTCTATGACCAACTCACAGTCAGGTGATATCGCCGTGACTAAAACGAATCATTTAATCATATGAATAAAATTTAAAACTAACAATAATTTCCATCACTTCATCTTACAAATTTACATTGTTACAAAGGGATTGGATAGCAGGTACATACTTGTCTGTCTACCTCTATACAATACTAACTGAACTTGAACTTTGCCTGCGTCTCTCAAAAAGAATGAATTTACCCTGTTTTTGCAACATTCCTCACTGATGCTTCGATGCTTATACAGTCAATAGCCTTTCTCGATAAATGGGCTATGTAACACTAAAAGAATTTTCCAATTCGAACTAGTAGTCTCTGAGATTAGCACGTTCAACCAAATAAACAAGCTTTCTATTATTCGTATAGATTTGTAAGTACGTAACAAAATATCGGGAACAATATCAGATAAGCAGATAATCCGATCAGAGTGTTATTTTTTAATGCAACGAGCCATTATAAGCCTATTCGGCCAAATCGGAATAAAATAAACAGTTGCTGGTGAATGAATAAAATTTAAGCCGATCCCGATTTGAGATGAATTTACAATTCAGTACAGAGTATTTATTTTATATCTCTTGTGCTTATTTCATCTCTTGCCCAGAGTAAGTAGTTCATTTTATTTTGTGTTTTCACGAGTTCCAACAACACGATAAAGTGAATGAGGAAAACATATCAAGAATATTATGTAACTATAGACCGTTTAATCTTAAATTCTTCGCCCGAATAAAGAGGTAAATACATTTCTTTGTGAATAATGGCAGAAAGATGGAGCAACACGTGTTTACGCGTATGAAGATAAATGTTAGACAGTTACAATAGACGTTGGCAATAATACTGCTGCTTTTCGTGGAAGAGTTTTGGCACAAATAGGTTTAGGCAAGACCGTAGTAATACCACGGCCCACAGAAAATTCGGTTTTAGGCAATTTGTTCGTTGCTTTGAGTTGAGTTGCACCGAATGAGTGAGTTTACCGGAACCCAACCACCCTCTTTAAAACGTTGGTGTCTAACCACTCTTAAGTTGTAGGTGTCCATGGCTACCATCAGGTAAACCGTATGCTCATTTGCCCACCCCTACCATAAAAAAATCATAATCATAAGTTTCTTTTATATTGTGAGTGTATGTTCTAAGAACATAACTTCTAGTATGTTGTTTTTTTACGATTTAAACATCAGCGTAGTTCCTTTTAATAACCATATGTTGTTGCGAAAATATATAACAAAAACTACTAGTAAATTGTTAATCGTAAGCGTAATGAATTCCGTAGATGTAATTGCCTCTCGTTTTTCTCGTTCTGTAGGCCAAATCTCGTAATAAAAGTTCGGACACAATTAAGTTTCAATCAACTGTCGATCTCACAATTGTCATTTCATTCATTTCTCAAAAGATATTTTGGTAGTAATAATAATAATAATAATAAACCACCACCTAACCACCACCACCGAGTCCTAACCACCGATATCTTGGTCTCTGTACCCGATACCGATGGGATACTATTTTTTATATTTTTAAATGTATTTTATTTTTTGTTTTTGTATATAAATATATTTAAAAATGTAATTTATATGTATAAAGAATGAAATAAAGAAATAATAATAATAATACCCTCACACATCTCACACACGGCTTTCTGATCCGCTCCGGTCTAAATTCGATCCGATTCAGTTCCGTTCTACTCTCGATCGGAACTGAATTTTGACCGAACTATATATATTCTCGTAATATTATTACGAGAATTGGCCTTCTCATATCGAGTTTCCATTTAGTTGATTACTTTTAATATAAATCAATGCTTACAAATCTACAAATCATACTTATCCTACTATAACTAAATGCTTATTACTCATTTTAAGCGTAACTAATAGGCTTTTTTAGACATATCCTTTCTTCCAAATCACTGAATTTATACAATAAAATCCTCCAAGGCGTGGGTAAAATGTTTTCCAACGCTAAATTATTACAAATGGAGTTATAAGCGGCCTTAATTCCATTTATAACAAGGTTAGTCTTCCGCTTTTTGTGAAATTTGATCATAAGTTCAGTGTACTTTATAAACATTCAGTTTGGAGCAGTATAAGATTTATAGAAACGTTATTGAAATATTTTTGTTTCTGATTTCTTTAAATTTAACATCACAATTACAGCTTTTAATAGTCCACTGCTGGTCATAGGCCTCTACTTAGAAGGAGGTTTGGCCTACTACGTATGGCCAGACGGTTTGGTATAGGGTTTTTGTCAAGTTTTCCATGTCATGGCAGTGCTACACCCATGCCGCGGGACGAATAGGGGTGGTAACACTCCTTATTCCTAATCCTTCACCACACGGATATTTTTTGTAATTTACTCGGCGGAGTTAAATAACGATTTCATATTTCATTTTATTTTTTATTATGACTTCAGTCATTGCTTATAACAACTATCTACAATACATTTCACGAATGTGACAAGTTATGATAAGGGAACCTTAATAATATTAATGAGTTGCAGGCATGAGCGACGGTAGTCACTTACCATCAAGTGAACCGTCGGCTTATTTGTCAAAGCGTGCCCAAACCAAATGGTAAGATCAGTAGATCTTACCATTTGGTTTTGGTTTTGGGTATTATAAGGGACTACTGATTGTACTCGTATTCGTGTCGTGATTAATCTCAATCTGATAGAAAAAACAAAACAAACCCAAAAAAATATTTGGCAGTTAGAATTTTTTTATATTTTATACTTGAACTTTGTAAGGATTTTGAATTAAGACTATGAAAGGTCGCAGTCTCAGTGGCTTGTCGTATATCGCTCGCCAACTACATATTGGAGTTTTTAAAACCAGCCACTAGCTTCCATTACGGGCTAGAATCTAGTCTATAAATTAAAATTGCAAGGACGAAACGAAATACCACATCCCGTTAAGATTCCGCTTCTATAGGGTACCGCTACAAAGTAGTTACTTTAAGCCATATTCCTTTGCATATTTTGGTAGTCTTAAGTTGCGCAGTATGATAATAAGTACACCGACTTTTAGATTTAATACATGAGAAGGAAGCCCCGACGCAGGTAACGAATTTAAAAATTACTAATATTGTAGACAATATTGTTCCTCTCTATACGAATTAAAGTAGCGTTGTTTATAATAAAGCTTTGGAAATCGCGGGTAGTCAATATAGCACGCTTACAGAACCAAAAGTTATCCTTTGACACTCACTGTATACCGATAATGTTAGTTCTTCAGAAAAAGAAATCATCTGACATAAGCGAGATGTGATAGATCTTCGTTTGGAAACGTATCATTAACGATTTCGAGTATCACATTCGAGAACTCTTGTGCATCAATAATATTGCCATCAATACGTGCCCGCAAGTTAATTGTCAAATGCGGTCAGGTAATAGACCAGAGTCTTGAACGTTTAAGGCATTTTTTACCTCATCCGCTCTTAT